GATAGAGACCAATGTAATGTGTCCAGTTTGGAGGACAGCACGTATTGGCTTTTTCAACCCAGTCTCACAAAAAAAGTGTAATAACTACGTTGGTCCACAACGTAGGACGTAGTTTTTCTACAAAAACGCCTCTGAAATTGTAAGATCCCTACGTTTTTTTTCACCATTCATTCCAATGGCTGGCGTCTATGTCACGTGATCTTCAAATTTCTCCCTGCAGAAAAAAAAAAACATGGCCGAACTTCGTTTTATTCTCGGTGGAAAATGCCTATTTTAAAGTTAATTCGGCCATTAAAATGCCTTTTGATGTCATTTGATGCCAGAAATATGAGTTGTTATTTCAGATTATGTGTGCTGTGGATGCACATGATCTTTAGTTTGCTAGTTATTATGAAGATTACTTCAGGAAATCGCGACGTTTTCATTGTTACCAAGGTGGTTGCTAGGGACGCTGTTATCGATATTATTTCTGTTATGTTGTGTAACTGTTTAATGGTGTTATCTTTATTGCTACCCCCTTCCCCGTCAATGTATAGTGTTGGTCCACAGCGCAAACGTATTAGTTCCGCAAAATCTGCATCTAAAATTGTGGCATAGATACGTTATTTTCCCTTGTGCAATAGCTTGGTTTCAGTCACGTGACTTCTATGACGCGCGAAATTCAAGTGGAGGTCAGGAAGTGAAAACGCAATCATTCATCAACGCAGGAATCATGGAGGACACCGACTATGTCAAACAATTAAATGAACCTGCACGCCGCAGATATTGTGAAAAAATCACAGCACACATCGGATACGATCCGCATCAGCTGAAAAAAAACGACTTTTCTCGTGATTTATCCGATTTGCCCGCTGTCGAGGCGATGGATATCACCAGCTACCTCGTCCTTCATACCTCCTACTACACGGCTAGCCAGATGAAAGCGTATAAAAGCCTGGAAGCTTTCAACTACTTCGTGTGTGGATGGGTGAATGACCTCGGCACCAAAGAGGCATTAAACAAATGTCGCCTTGTTTTTGCCCGGGTGAGTGTTAACTACCTATACCTTCTTACCTCTAAGTAGCATTATTAGGAGACATCTAGCTAGCTAACTTTAGCTACATGGACTCATGTAAGGCAGTGTTACGGCTGTCGCCTTGCCCTTCAGCATTAACTGCCTGTGAGTGTGTTGTGTGTGTATATATGTGTATGTTTGTTATGTGTATGTGTTTAGCTTAGGATATATTGTGTTTTGTGTGTATAGACAGCTCAGAGCCTTTGAACAGCCTGCACGTTGTTTATATCACTCTATGTTGAGGTTAATATTAAAAACAACCTCTTTACCAAGACCATCTGGTTATGTGTTGCTTGTGATGTTGTTACCAACTCGCAAGTTGTGAACTGGAGCTTCAATTGTGTAGGTCAACCATTCCCAGAGGTCTGGAGAAACACCATTAAAAACGTGGATTGTAGCTAAAGAAGATGGAGAGGTTGTTACAGCACACTGTAACTGTATGGCTGGGTAAGTCATAAAATAAATATCCCAACCCAAAGCATATTTGACACAACACTTAAGCTCGGACAAAATAATGCCTGCTATAATATTCATGTTATACCATTACTAGCTTTTACGATCAATCTAGTTATTCTAGTATGTCTCTGTCTATACAGTTTGTCAGAATCCTGCACACATGTTGGAGCAGTTCTGTTTGCAATCGAAGCAGGTGTGAAGATGAGAGAGACTGCATCCTGCACCACTGAGAAGTGCAAGTGGCATCACATGTCAAAAAGGTATTCAGACCCCAGTGGTCAGTCAGCTGTTCATGCCGTCCTTGCTTGTCTCATTGTTACACTGCACCTACATGTATGTTCACATACATGTTGGTCTGTCTCTCACATGTGCAGATTCCTGCTGCTCCAGTTGCGATGATAGACTTTTCATCCGCAAAATCCAAAAAGCAAAAACTGGATGATGCCATTGCTGGAAGGACAGGTGAGAAGCACACATTTCAGCGTCCCACAGTCCAGGGTTCAAAATTGGAGCGAGGATCAGAGAGGTATATGCAGTTTTTCAAGACTTTGAGCAGAAATTCCCCAAGAAGTGCTGCACTGATGTCCAGGGAACCATATTACAGAGAATTTGTCCCTAAATCTGTGAGCAAGCTATCTAAACCACTACCTCAGTATAGGACACCAGAGATGCTACAGCTATCCCCAACAGAGTTGCAGAATGCATGCCAGGACTTCAGACAGGAAGAGCTGACACAGCCACAGGTCCAGGCAGTAGAGGAGGAGACCAGAAACCAGAGCTTATCAGCAATATGGTTTAGCCAAAGAGCAGGAAGGATCACAGCCTCAAGACTGAAGCAAGTTCTACAGACTAGTCTTGCACAGCCATCAAAGTCCTTGATCAAGTCCATATGCTACCCAGAGGCATACAAGTTCTCTACAGCTGCAACAAGGTATTTATTAGGGATTAGGGAGCCAATCAGAAAAGCAAACTGTATACAGTTTTTCTCAGACGCGGAGGGATACCGACTTGTTGTGAAAGTAACTTACAATTCTACCGTGGTATACGCTGATTATATCACGTATATCAGTAAGTTACAGTACAGTAACTTATAACTAAATTCATTATCATTAACAAAACATTGATTCACAAAATATTCAATGCATAAAAATACTGTGTGTGTGTGTGTGTGTGTGTGTGTTGTGTGTGTGTGTGTGTGTGTGTGTGTGTGTGTGTGTGTGTGTGTGTGTGTGTGTGTGTGTGTGTGTGTGTGTGTGTGTGTGTGATGTGTGTGTTGTGTGTGTGTGGTGTTGTGTGTGTGTGTGTGTGTGTGGATGTGTGTGTGTGTGTGTGTGTGTGTGTGTGTGTGTGTTGTGTGTGTGTGGTGTGTGTGTGTGTGTGTGTGTGTGTGTGTGTGTGTGTGTGTGTGTGTGTGTGTGTGTGTGGTGTGTGTGTGTGTGTGTGTGTGTGTGTGTGTGTGTGTGGTGTGTGTGTGTGTGTGTGTGTGTGTGTGTTGTGTGTGTGTGTGTGTGTGTGTGTGTGTAGTGTGTGTGTGTGTGTGTGTGTGTGTGTGTGTGTGTGTGTGTGTGTGTGTGTGTGTGTGTGTGTGTGTGTGTGTGTGTGTGTGTGTGTGTGGATGCGGATGCGGATGCAAATACAAGGCAACTGCCCGAAAGCAGTATGAAGGAGTACAAAGTCTGCACCACCAGGGTTTCAGCTGTAAAGACAGCGGGCTTTGGCTGAACCCTCAATGGGAGCGTCGCCAGACGGATGTGTCACGTGCACCTGCCATGGAACTGGTATCTGTGAGATAAAGGTAAGTTAATTGTTCAGTATTGTGCTACAGTAAAGCGGGTAAGTATAGGATTGTGACGTGATCCTGAGTCTGGGGATCCTCTCCCAATACATTTTGAGCTGCAGACACTTATTTACAGTATAATATATTACTTTTCTTTTCATTGAACTTTTAGTGCCCACACAGCAAACAAGAGGAGGCCAATCTTCGCCTGTGTGCTGGAGAACAGGGCTTCTGTCTCGTCAACGATGGGGGCACTGTGAAGCTGGACAGGAGACATGCCTACTACCATCAAATACAGGCTCAGCTCCACCTCGTTGATGTTGACTACTGCGACTTTGTTGTCTAGACTCTAGACTAAAAATGACCTCTTTGTAGAGAGAATTGTGCGTGATGTGGACCTGTGGGACAACATCATTCCATAGAGTTGGTGTGCTCATTTTTTTTCCACAAGAACATGTTAGTGCATAACTATCAGGTGACTAAAAGCCTCCTCTCCCTGTCTGCTGTTCCATTTTTCAGTTTCAGTTGCAAGATGATCAGGAGGGAGAGAAGGCGTGATTACCAGCACCTGTGGTCTGTCCTGGTCCCGGAAGTTGTGGTTCTCTCCTTGTTGCATTATTATTACGTGCCGTAGTGGGTGCTGGTGTTTGTGGGTGTCTTTTTCTCTCTCCCTCTGATCTCCCTTTTTCTCTCTCCCTCTGATCTCCCCAGGTGCTCCCAATCTCCAATCAGCGCCTCCATATAGGACATGAGGAAGGTTGCAGTCGCTCTCCCCTTATCTTAAGCTTTGTTTGACAAGTTGGCTGGTGAGCCCTTTTTCGTTGTGTTAATTAAAAGACCACTTTATGGCGTCAGAGATCAGTTTCCTCTCCTTTTTCTCTCGGCCGGTTATGTTGTGTGTCGCTACTTCCCTTTGTACCCCTATATTTACAAGGGAACGTAACATTTGCACAGTGGCAGCTCTTTAACCTGCATTACAGCACCTTCATATTCACTGACCACACTCACTAGAGGAAGTATGGCTGTGTGATATATTGCTATTGTAAAAAAGATGTTTACTGAAAAGATTAAATGATACTAAGACTGAATAATACATGGTTTCTTATTTACATTTACAATAACCCTCAATGGCCATACATGGGAGCGTCACCAGACCAATTGTCATCTCTAGAATATTGTTGAATGAATTAAGCCTGAATGTAGATGAAAGTTGTATATTGAGTAGGGCTACACAATTTTCAACACAAAAAGATGTTTACTGAAAAGACTTGAACACAAGATGTTTGAACACAAAAAGATGTTTACTGAAAAGATTAAATGATACTGAATAATACATGGTTTCTTATTTACAAGACTACAGCTCCATGACTTTACTCCAATGGGACGACAGACACTGACAGATTAGACAAGGCACAGCAAATAACCCCAATCTTGTCAATTAATGCTAGTGCCTCACCTGGTTTTGTTAGCATGTGCTCTATGGGCACAGCCCTGCTTTGCAGAATCTGATATTTTCTTCTGACTAATCCTATGACTCTTTCAACATGAATACGCACATTAGCTATTTTTTTTGTCTCTTCCACCTCGTATGCTGACAGCTGACTTTTCCCCCTGGTGAATGCAGGCATCTTTAGTGAAGCACAGTAAAATCCCACACTATCGGCAATATCGAACCCACGGTCTGCTAGGACAATATCTCCAGGTAACAGGTTTTTTAGGAGACCACTCTGTATTGTGATCTGTTTATCACTAACTCTTCCTCCCCAGGCACAAGATATGTAGGTAACATAGCCTTGGGGAGCAACACCAATCAGAAATGTAACAGTATGCATATTTGGAAATGCATGTGTGTATAATAGGAAGATGAATCCACGAGGATATCCATCCAGGACCTATGATCCAGGACCACAGCCACGACTCAAGATCCAGGGCTCGCGATCCAGGACAGAGGAGCGCAGGATCATCCATGACTCCGGATCCCGGCGTATATAGACACCAGGGTCAGGAGGGGACGGGACCTCCAGGACCCTCCCAGGGACGTGCTGTGGGCCAGATTTGTTAAAGAAGTAAATACATCCTCTTCAACTGTTACTTGAGAATTGTAAGTATTTTTCCCCCTTGAGCTGAAAAATGAACTAAATTGAACCTATAATTCCAGGTGCTCAAACCATACCTGAGTGGATTGGAGAGCAACCTCAAGAACAGGTTCCCAGACGTCGAGTTGTTGGGGGGCCTTTGTTGTGCTTAGTCCTCGGGCAGCAATGGCAGACGAAGACACCAACATTGAAAACCTTGACATTCTTGCGAGGAAGCTCATCCCAGGGCGGGAAGAAGACCTTAAAACGGAGTGGTACTCCTTCAAACCCCACCTCACAGGAGCTTTCAAGGTAAGTAAACTTGCCTGTTTTTGTTTACCAGAATTGATTCATCTTGTCTTGCGTATGGTTAATTTTATTGTATGCTCTTTTTCCAAACTTCTGAAGGACAACAGTCAAGCTGAGATCATGCAGATGCTGGCAAGCGAGAACGATGAGTGGGCCGAACTCTATCCTCTACTCGGCAAGCTTTCTGCGGCTGGGCTGGTGATCCCGGTCTAAAGTGTGAACTGTGAGCGAGACTTCTCGACGATGAACCGGGTACGGAAAATACATACATCCAAATTATTTCACAGGTGCAGCCTGGATATGAAAAAAAAACTTTGGAGCATAAAAGCTGTATAAAGAAAGCCCAAGTGTCTGATGGTGGCCTCTGCTGGCTACTTCTGAACTGCAGCTCAATGATTGTACAGTCATCTTTTATATTTATATATTATTTATATTTCATTTCTGCGGGAATCACTGTACAGTCTTTAATTAACTATTAGTAGAGAATAACGAGTAATGAATATACTTTATAGGGATCCTATTAATATCTAATAATACAAATAATGAAATGCAATAACATGCTTTAACCACTAGGTGTCCCTTTATATCAGCGTGTCTGAACAACGTTTTGTTCATGAGTTATTGATCCGTGAAATCTGAATCTGCCAATATCGATCCAACTTTACTCAACTTTCGGTGCCGAGATACCGTTAGTAAAAAGGTAACAAACGCGAGTGAAGTATTATAACCGGACGCGAGAGAGATCAGATCAGCTGCTGCTGAGTCTGACGGAGACACGCAGCTCTGCATGATCACCTGATGCTCCACCCTCTGTTTAGCGAGCTGACCGGACAGCGCAAAATGCGTATATTGAGGCCCAATCCCAAACCACTCCCTCGACCCTACCCCTTCGTGACGGAGTGAACTCCGTCTGTAGCCACACTCGCAGCTCAACGAGGCTCCCTCCTGTCAGATGGAGGGAGTAAATACAGCAGCAAGCTTTGGGACGGCCTCCCCTGGGGGCGCGCTCATGTGATTGGCTTAGAATTGAGGAGACATCTGATTGGCTATAGATAGAAACAATTACAAGTACGAATCGGCTGACCGTCAGGGGAGTCTCAAAAATCCCACACACGAATGCACAGCGATCCGTGCACAGAAAGCGGTTTGTGGTTGCAGGTTCAGAGGATTTAAATGGAAAACAAATATGAGGATCAAAAATACATATGTAAAACTTTTTTCTGTATTTGGATTTTATTTACATGTATATGAAACGGAACACATTTGTGTGTGCATTGAAAAACACATGTGTGGATAGGGAAATACAAGTGTGAATCCTTTTGCGGATCATGAAATACAAGTGTGAATCCTTCTGTGTGCATTATGAGACTGTTCTGAGCCCATAGTTATTGTTAATTTAAAATATGTTGTGCCACAATAATGTCATGTTATTGAGTTAAAATATCAATATTGTGGATTTCCAAGTTAACATTGATTGATATGACTGGGATTAAATCAGCATATACTTCTGCCAGGGGATGCCATCCCTCAAAATCTCCTGCCATCCCTCAAAATCTCCTGCCACCCCATGAAACTTTTTTCTGTATTTGGATTTTATTTACATGTATATGAAACGGAACACATTTGTGTGTGCATTGAAAAACACATGTGTGGATCCGGAAATACAAGTGTGAAGCCTTCTGTGTGCATGTGTGTATTATGAGCCTGTTCTGAGCCCATAGTTATTGTTAATTTAAAATGCATTAAATTATGCTGTGCCACAATAATGTCATGTTATTGAGTTAAAATATCAATATTGTGGATTTCCAAGTTAACGTTGATTGATATGACTGGGATTAAATCAGCATATACTTCTGCCAGGGGATGCCATCCCTCAAAATCTCCTGCCACCCCATGAATATTTGTTCTAGATCCGCCCCTGCTCCTGAGGCCGCTAAACCCTCCCTGTTTTCCGGTAAATCCTCCGGAGCTGCGGAGGCCATGATGTCTGATGTTGTGGTGAACTGCCGTAAAGATACTAGTACTGTTGCAAAATGTGAGGTGGCGGAGTACACTAATGGCACATTTCCACTGCAGCGGGGGTAGCCCCGTTTAAGCGTCCTCGCTCAGGCCGTCCGAGGCCGTGGCGCATTTCCATCACAGTTAAGGACCTGGGGTAGCAACGCAGTGTAGGCGGGGCGATCTGCTTCACATTTCGAGTTGTTCCGTCGAGCTCCCGCTGGATTTTATCATCCCCAATGAGATGTAGGAACGTCGTCACCTCCTCGGTCGACCACGGTGTGCTTTTCTTCGACGTTGCCATTTTTGTAGCTCCTCCGTTTACAAAAAATGCTGCATGCTTGCTTCTAAATATATATGCGACGCTAGGGATGATCTCGCGCGCGATAATGACGATGATCTCGCGCGCGATAATGACGATGATCTCGCGCGCGATAATGACGATTCTCTCTGACCAATCAGCAGTCGAGAGTGTTGAAGTCACTAGTTCAGCCCTGGACCTGGCCTGATAGAACCACGATTTTATGGGGCCGAAAAAAGTACCCGCTAGCCGGTGCTTCGCTATATGGAAAGGCCACCAAAAACTGGCCTGGCCGCTTGAGGACGATTAAGGACGCTTAAATGGGGCTACCCGCTGCAGTGGAAATGCGCCATTAGTGACCACCAGAGGGAACTAAATACCTTGTAATAATAATAATAAAAGATTACATTTTTACAGCGTTTTTCAAGGGACCCAAGGACGCTTTACATGCTGTGAACAAACAAACAAACACACAAGCAATGAAGTATTAACACGTTAAACGTTATTGATCCCACATTGGGAATTATTACATGTGCAAATTGCGCCACGATGCCTTCTGAACCGGAGAATGTGTGCTGCATGGAGATACCACAGGTAACATTTTTGATAGCTTCACTAAGTTGTCTGTTTAGAGAATACATTTTTAACATGTCATTCAATATATCTTTATCACACTAGGTGTCAAGACGGATGCAGGAACTTGAGGACTCTGTAACCTGTATGGTGGACCATCCTGGATTGGAGCCTGTGTGCCTGAATGTGTTCTCCCTGCAGAATGCATTTAATATTTACAGAGCTGAACATGGTGGACTACAGTTGAGGCAAATAGAGCAGTGAGTGGTTTGTTTGTTTTGACTGAAATTGTAAAACGAATGCTAATATTCTTCATGGAAATAAATACTGGTGTATATGGCTTTATGCAATCTTTCATTGTACATGTACTATTATATATATATATTATTACACAGCAATGGCATAACACACCCAAGTGTACGACAAAAAAAGTCCACACACAACCTTATGCTTTTGAAATCAGAATATTCTTTACCCATCCAAACATAAATAATCACGACACATTTGATATCAACTCTGAACTTTATTGTCAAAATGAACGGTTCTTTGAACCCATAAAAAAAACTAAATGTACTTGTATTATATATAAATGACACTAAATATATTTTTTAATGATTTCAGGCGTCACAGGTATCTAGCCTACAGAAGCTTTGTGAGCTGGTGCTGGGGCTTCCTTGGACGCAGGATCAGAGTGGTGATTCCGGCCTGCGTTGTCCTCAGGATTCGCAGAGAGTTTCCTGATCCGCGAAATATCTATGTTGGGTTCAGACAGCAGCCAAATTGAACCGAGTAGCATACCCGGAGATGACCTCCTCCCTGTCAGGTCGCTCATATTTGGAACACAGGTCCTCTGGGATGGGTATCTTCAGAAGCTCCTGTGTGAATGGTGCAGGGTCCACAAAGACTCGGTCGAAGATGAGGTCCATCAAGTTGGCCAAGTAGCCTGTGCAATGTTAAAAAAAGCACAACAAAAAATGTGGTTTACATTAGTATATGCATGTACAAAACTGAAAGTTATTTTTAATTTATTTATTTTATATTTGTAAATAGTTGTATAATAAATATTTTAAACACTTACAGAATGTGGGGTCAGTCTTTACTGGTTTGGCTCTGCATTCTCCCTTCCTGGCCTTTGGGAACTGCAGTTTATACAGAGGCTTTCCAGTGGATGTAGTGGCTTGTGCACGCTCAGCGTTTTCATTGTAGTGCAGGGCTGCCAGGTACAGTCTTTCATTTCCGCCATGAGTAAAAAAAAAATGTAAATAATAGCAAAGGATGTACAAATTGTCACTAATTAGTAAGTAACTATGGTTTATTTTACCTGCACAACATTCCAAGAAATGGAAACACAACATTCTTTGGAGCAAAGCGCAGGATGACGGCATGGAATGACTCCAAAGATGAAGTCTGGTGGTGTGGGCTGAGTTTGGCCACAGCTTTCAAAATCCTCTTGGTTGAGAGAATTGTCTCCAGCTTGTGAAAGGCCGGCGTTCCTAAGAATTTGAAAATCAAAGTCATATTTGAATTGTCATGCTTTATAGATTGTGTCTGACAACATCCTGTATTCAATAGTTGTCCCTTACAAATATTTATAGAGGAGTAATGTAATATGGTTTATGAACAACATACCTGCAGCCATCCATTGGTATTGCGCAATGCGCAGTGGATGAAGGCACTTGGGGAACAGGGGGTCATCATGAGAGTAGATATCCTGCACGTGGTTCAGGATGGAAGTCCATTTGGCCACTCTCTCAGGCCCGGTGGTGGAGGTTGCTGCAGTCCAGTATATGTGGTTTCTTATACTCTTCACCCACCCTCGAAGTTTTTCACAGTCCTTCTTTTTTGCAGCCTTCTCCAGTTGCTTAGAAATCCCTAATAAATACATTTAACATGTAGTTAATATACATACAAGTTTACTCAAAATATTATTATACTAATGTGATTGTAGGAAGCCGGGTTTGTGTCTAAATAAAATAATGATTGTATTTACAATCGATTTATTTACATGGAAATTAATATAAAGAAAAATACCTTTTTCTATGTGCCACACATCAAAGAATTGGGTGATGCTGCTTTCCCTTAGGAAATTCTGAATTTGCAGATGTCTGTCCGTGACAATACAGTCCAGAGTCACACCACGTTCCTTTAACAACTCCAGACTCCTTTTCAGGCCCTCTAACTCCATGTGGTAGCTTCCACCAACCTCATTGCTCTGTTATGACACATACAAATAACCATTGATACACACATTTTAAATATAACGTGCAAACAGTGTTAAAGAAAAAAACATTGATATTTCATTTCAGCCCACTTACCTGAACCAACTGGAGGTCAACGACTTTGTTGTTCTTCAGGTCCATCATAGTGTAGCTTCCGAACT